CATGGCCTAAAATCCACTGCTACTGTCTTTGGGGGAATTTTTCCTTTGTTTGATAGCTGACAGAGAGAAAGAAAGTGACAGCAAATGTGGGGAAACAACATGAAATAAATGTCCTGGTCGGACCCGAACTGGCATTGTTGTAATTACACTATCAGTTATCTACTTCACAGTCTGTCATTGATGCTGCCTTATGCGGAGCTGGTAGCATATCAATGTCCTGTGATACCAGACCTGTCTGTCCTGCTCCTAATGTACCTGACAGCAGAGAGATGCTTTGAAGTTTCTGGTTGTACAGTAGTGTAGTTTATACAGTGAGTGACATCCTTCAAGCCTGAATACTAATATTACTTGTGCTAATTTAACACTGTGCTAATGTAAATATTGTCCACACCAGCGGAGTTAGCTAGTATTCTTAAGTGTAGGTTTTATAAAATGCAGAAAGTGCAACGTTCAGTGCAGCAGTCTCTTGAGAAGGCTCCCCTCAGCGTTTGACCATAGCTAGGTTTCCTATCATTATGTATGCATATGAATTTAGCTCAGCCTATAGATTAGCAGTACAAAGGTTAGAGCCATGACAAGGGATTTGATTTCCACTGGAGCTACCAACCCTTATTTAAAATGTATGGGGAAATGAAAGCCTTCACCAAGGTGGCATATGTCATGTCTATATACTGAGAAGCTCCCTGCTGTGTCTTGTTGGACCAAAGCTGGCTAGGGGGAGGGTAAGAGACAGGCCAACTCAAAAACCCATGGTCTGGCTTTTATACTGTGGTCTTTGCAGGGCACAGAGCCCTTTAGCTTCCTTCACAGCCCCCTAGCTGCTTGTGACGTCAAGCAGAGCGTGTTCTGCTCTACCAAGGACATCTGTCTGTAAGCGTCTGGGGGGCCAGGAGCAGCCCCTCAGGCCAGGAGGAGGGAGGGAGAGAGGGAGGAGGGAGAGAAAAGCTTTTGTTAAAAACAGCAGAGATGGAGAATGGCAGGTTGGCCATCATGGCTCCTGCAGCTCATCCTCCTCTTCACTCCAAGCATATAACATCGCTCTGAGGTTCTTGCCGGATTTTGGACATTTTTGCATCATGAGAGAACATACTGCTCTTTATTCTGTGCTGAGAACAAGGACTGTTATTTCTTATTTAGGTCTTGACAGACATTTTTACCGATCTATTAAGGGCACAGAGCTTGAAGTTAGACGTAAATAATTCAAGATGTGGGAAACAGGTGACGACAAAAAACAATGGTGAGACAGCCAAATGGATCTGATTATTTTCACTAGCACAATTTGTTCGTAATTATGTGCATGAAGACAATAAAACATGTGCAGACCACTGACTTTTTCTTACAGTAAATTTAATGTGAGGTGGGCTGTTATAAAATTAAAGCAACAGAGTTCATCTGAACTACCTAAATCATTGTTAATACATTAATAAATTGTGAATTAGGGGAAACCTCTTTCTGAGAAATGAATGTATATTATATTTGAATGTAGTGATCAAAAACAAAGGAGATGAGTCCATAAGACAACAACAGACATTAGTAATGTGACATTATTTAACTGTGAATTTACTCAAAGCCACCTTTTAGTTTGTTAGCACCAGCTGTACTGATTCAGCCGCTGTGTGTTAAACTTGAAAACCACTGCTGATAAACACTGACATCCACTACGCTCAAACTAGAAGGTTTAGTCTGATTTAAATATGGATTTTGTAGGACTCTTCCAGGACATAAGTCCATGACACCAGTAGTCTGATGAATACATGTAATTTGGCATCCTGATGGATATTTCAAGCATATCAACCATGTGTCATTCAGATCCATTGCCAGAAAGAAGATGCTGTATTTTTGGGGTGGGTGCCGGGTAATGCATTTTTTACTGTCCTAAAACATTGGGTGATGTCATCATGGAGTTAACTGATATGCACTTAGCAGGGCACTCAACATCTGTTGGAGAGCTTTGTGCAAGTGCGACAAGTGTTTCCCCGGAGACGTTCATATTTGTATTTCCATACACGTCCCATTTCACCACGCCAGCCATAACATAATCACATTGTGCTTTTTGCATCTAGATTAAAACCTTTTTGTAACAAAGCTGTAGATTGATTCTGTGGGTATCTTGAAAATGTTCTACATCTCCTGACCTTTGCTAATAATTTGACTTGACAAATCCCAGTTCGCTGCTTCAAAAGGGCATACAGGCAGACTGGAAGCACTGGTATTTATGTGACTTTGGAGCAGCAGATATTTATGTGGTACCATTGATCGGATCTGGCAAATGTATGCATCCTGCCAGCTGGTTGTTCTCCCACTCTGGAATTAATCTCTGTAGTGACCTTTGCAGTTTTTGGAGATGGTTGGTGACAGGGTAGTCCGTAAAGTAGACAGAGAGTCTTGTACTTGTACTTGTAGGTCACAGTTTTGATTTCCATATCTGTTTCAATGAAATCTAAATATCTCAAAGAGGTGTCTGGCAAAATCATTCAATGTTGCAACAATACCAATCTGTACAATCATGACCAGTTCCATAACACGTAGAAATTCACTAAAAGAGATTGATGGCTTTCCTAACACGAGAGTTGCTTAACACAATATATATATATATATATATATATATGTGTGTGTGTGTGTGTGTTTGTGTATGTGTGTTTGTGTGTGTATGTACAGAGTGAAATATATACAGAGAATGGTACCAGCAGCTCATGTTAACAGTAATCTAAGGACTGAAATGGTTTGAAGGCAGCATGTATCCACATTCCTTCATACTGCTGCTACTGCTCCATAGCATTTGAACACCTGTGTGTGTCTAGATGAATGTACTCGATGTGAATGTTTGAAGTAAATGGTAGTTGTAAAAAAAAAAAAAAAAAAAACTTCTAATAGAAAAACAAATCTATCAAAGCCTGGCCCAACTCTGGCTTGTATCAGCTGGCAGTCATCAAAGGAAGGACGGTAGACTCGGCATCGTGGCACCAGATTGAAATCAGAAATCAGTCTCCCAGTGTCATGGCGGCCTCTTTACTGACAGGAAACGCAGACTGGAGGGTTGCAGATGGTAAAATGAAGTCTTCATTTATCATACAGTCATAAATCTGAAAATGCAGGCAGTTGCTGTGGGCGCTGGGAGCCCATGCCTGGTGCCAACTGCCAGGCAGAGATCATCCTGGTGCCATCAGTGAGATAGCGGACCTCTCTCGTTCTCTCTTTCCCTCTCCCTCTCTCTATTGCTCTCTCAGGCCTGGAGAGATTTGTGTGTTGTTTGTGGCAAGGCCTAATAAGGTTAGCATTGATAACATTAATGCTACATTTGCCATGTGGACAGCGGCAATAATCATCTCCACCCTGTTTGCCGCATCCAGTCATGATCCCCAGTGTCTGACTGCATTTGCACAGTGTTAAGAGCCTGACTCCCAACTCAACACTCCCTGAATTCACCTGCTATTAGTTAGTATTCGTTTTAACTGCAGTATCTCTATTTTCACCACTATCCATTTAAAAAAAAAAGGCAGAGTGAATGCAGTTTAGATATTCAGCTGGTTGGTACTCACTACTATTATTTCCCCTACTTTGTGTTGTCAGCGTGTTTGGATCTTTCAACAGTTCCGCCGTGCTAAATGTGAAGTGGCAACACCCTAAAGGGCATGCCTTGCCAGCGGGGTTTTAGCAAAAAATCAGAGCCAAGTGCATGCACATTTTAGATCAGACTTTGTACACCAAAGCAACCTTTTACAGTGCGCCATCTGAAAGTAACGGGAAATTTTCCCCTGATCAGAACCCATACATATGTGCTGCACACAAACACCAGCGCCCAGCGAACACATGCTGAGAGATAACATAAAAGAACATGAAAGACATGAAAGCGCACATTGATTGTCCCTGTTCGCTTCAACCCAGGCCTCTCTCCCCCAGCGGGCAGGCATGCAGGCAAGCTGGTGGGTAGGCATTCCCTGTGCTGTGGCCAAGATTGATAGGCACGTATGTGTGTGTGTGTGCGCGTGTGTGTGTGTGTGGGTGTGTGTGTGTCTGTGTGTGTGTGTGTGTACTGTGTTTGCATGTTGGAGGGAGTGTAGACACCCTCTGTGCCATGGCCCCAGGCCCTCACACATCCACCCAATAGAAAGGGCAGCTCCAAGCAACGCTGGGTCCCCCCTCAGCCCTGCGGCCAGACATGACATTACCTTGGGCAGTGCCTCCCCACAACCTCCCCCATATATATCACAAAGTGCAAAAATCACAATGGGACCTTGTGACTACACACGCATACACACATACACAGGCACACATACACAATCTTTGACAGAAGCTCTGTTAATGGCTGACAACAGGCTTCCATTTTGTTCGGCTCAGGAGAGCTTATACAATACATGGATGGATTGAAATAGGGATACAGAGGGATACATTTCTCCTATATTTTAATTTGTACATTTGGTCCCACTCTCGTCTCATTGTTCACTCATTCTCACCCGGTCTTGCAGAGCTTTAAAGTGGGACAGTTTTGGTTACAAATGCTCCTCAAATTGAAACTGTGTGATCTGAAATTCAAATCTTGTGTTTCCTGGTTCACTTGTGAGACTGAAAATAACTGTCATGGTGCTTCTTAATTTGGTTAAGATATTCAGAGAGAGAGAAAGCGATGTTTTGAAGTTTGAGATCATCGGTGCTACAGAGTAGAAAAGTTCATTTAAAGCTGTTCTGTATCATAGATGGTTATTTTGGGTGTGGGTGTTGGTTATGAATTTGTTTTATGGAGACAAATCCACTGTAATCCTCAAAGCCGACACCTGTAGGACATACAGTATCACACATTTTTACATATAACACATACAAATATTTGTGTAAAATTCACTTTTATTTCAGCAGACATTAAATGTTAGGTTGGCAGTCACTATATTGATACCTTGCACATGAAATACTTTCTACTTCAGATACATGTGATACCGGGGCAGCACAACACCACGTATAGAGCAGAGGGATATTTTCTAATCTTTGTGTTCCTGTGTCGTCACCAGATGCAACAACAGGAACTGGCGCAGATGCGGCAGCGAGATGCCAACCTTACAGCACTAGCTGCCATTGGACCCCGCAAAAAACGCAAGGTGGATTCACCAGGGGCCACCCCATCAGGGACCGAGGTAAGAAGCAGACTCACTTAATGGCTCTATTATCTAATTTTTTTGTCCCTGACTAGTTGCTGGTGCTGACTTGATGTCTACTCTTGACAACAGCAGCTTCCCCAGTAACTGATATAAATCTTTCTAAAAGAAAAGGAAGAAACTTCAAAAGTGGGAACTGTCTATTTATTTCAGTTATACTTTAATAGGGAATATGTTTTACCATTCATGATAGTTTCAAGGACAAGCAGAGCAGGATTCATTTGTGATGATGAAATGAAATATTGGCATAACATAATGACAACTACCTAAGCTTCCTACAAAGAATACTGTACTGTACTGTAAATAATTCAAATAAATTCCTTGCATTATATTTTTTGTGTAGGCAGCTTTCAGTGGTAATTTTTCTTGCTCTGTCATCCCTGACTGTGGTAAGTTCAAACACGGAGGGTTGGTAGATGGTATGCAAGAAATGACTCACTGAATACTCACTCACTTTGTTTTAATGTGGGACATTTTCCTGATCCACAGAGTGCTCCACACTTGTCATGTGTCTGTAGGCCAAGGTGTACAGTAGCCAAAAACTTGATACTTTATAGTTGCAAGAGTTTTCTGACATTGTTAACATACATGCAGTGACCGACTTTGCTCTCAGGACAGTTGATCAATAACCCACAGCTGGCCGTGACATTGCAGTTTGACACTAGTTTTGGAGTTTGGAAATAAAAATAAAAGTCCCTGAGAGAGTATGACAGTAACCTCTCTAACACTCTCTACACACTGTAAAGTTTACTGAGGTGAACAGAATGTGAGAGTCAGTGTATGAGATACCACTCCTTTATTTTTCATGTGGCTCAGCAAACCACTCCAATACTTTTGTTTGAATCTTAATAAAAATTGAATCACAAAAATCCCTCTTCAAAAACCCTTTCCTATTTTCTGTTGTAATCAGATCACAATAACAATGGTCAATGGATAAATGAGTGTTTGACCATTGTTTAATTAAGATTCTAATAGGGTCCAAGTTCAAGGTTTTAAGCACATTTGAGAACAACATTTACAAACACAAAACCACAAATCAAGAATAGGAAATCATTAATAAGAGAAGCTAAAGGCTAGACATGGTTTCACAGTAGTAGTAGCACTCAAATATACAATATTAGACATCAGCATATCCAAAAAATAGTGAAAATAGTGGGAAAGATTAAATGACCTGCTGCAAGAGTTTTGCAAGTTTTACTTCACTGTGGGTGATGTGCATGGACTGGTTAATGGGTTACCATCATCCTGCATTAAAATATTTTACTGTGTGAAATTATAGAAATTAATGATAATTCAGATGAGATGAACCAGATGCCTTGGCTTCATTTTATTTCATATTTATATGCTCATATTTATATTTCGCCCCAGTTGCCTTAGGTCCCTGATTGACTGAGAACTCAGTTTCAGTTTGTCTGTACAACAGAGGTTGTTTGGTGAGGGAGCTGTGAAATGCATTATTGGTAATGCATTATTGGGTTGGCGACACAGTGTGCAGCGATGTTCTCATGTTTATTCATCTACAAAGTGGATGAAGATGAACAAATCTGAAATCTCCGATTAGAGTCATGAGCCAATACCTTTCTGGAGGCACCAGGGAGTGGGTTTGTTTTGTGGAATAATGTCCTTTGTTGGCCTCTGTTTTCCCTGAGGCTTTTGTTTTAGAGCCATTGTGTTCTTGATACCACACATCCTCCTCATGCTTAACCAGTTTAGCATTAGTCAAGTTTAGGAATGTGTCTAATAAGCCACTCTCCACAATCAAAGTCAGCAAACGTGACAAAGATGGCAGGAAATATCTGTGTGTGTTACAGGGAGCATGGTGACATACTCCCATGTGACTTGCCCAGTCTGCTCTTAATTAAGCTGAACTGTGTTATTATAAGAGATGTCTCCTGTTTGAGGTTCCATGAGCACTAACTTGAGTATCATATTTCTCCAGCACAGGGTCATACATGAAGTCATGCACAGTTGCTGTACCAAGTCACATTTTCCTTAAGGCGGGGGAAACATTTGAATTCCACATATTCATCTGTAAATATGATGAATCTAAAATAAGCCTGAATTTTGAATGTCAATTGGTCATTTTAATAACCTACTTATCGAGTTGCATCTTCACATCCTTCGCTTAGCAGCAATATGCTGCAGAGGAGCATAGTAATGCACCCGGTAAAAAAAGCATAAATAACAAAATAAAAGCATTACTTCTGGTCCTTGAGTGCAGTGCCAACCTCTTTCAGAATGTTTTACCCTGATGGGTATTAGCCTGCGACCTTCTGCTGCATTCAAAAAAGCTTTCTCAAACTGCTTTCCCAAATGCAGTTATACAACATAAACATGAATATACATTATGCTTGAGTTGTTGTCTTTTTTTCTATTTTTTTCCCCTTTTTTAATGTCCTGTTCATGTTTAATTAGAGGGGCATAAAGAAGTGAAGTCATAGTGTACCCCCCCCCCCCCCTCCTGGAGTGATTGCAGAGGGGGCGGAGGAGGAATCTTAACTTATTTTCACTTCGTTTTCACCTCCTCACATTTCTTCATTTCACATGGGCTGGAAGCGCCGGCGGCGTTCTCTTTCCCTTCTCCAGAGCAAAGTGAATGTGACTTTTCTAAGGGGGTCACAGGATGCCTGGAGGCCTGTGGGTGTTACTGGACTGTTGCCTGCTCTTAGCTTCACTGAGGGGCTTGTCATAGATTTCATCTCCACAGAAATGAGCCGGGGGCCCTGGCCAGGAGCACAAGCAGCCAACGTTATGAAGGGCCCATGCTGATTATTTCCCTCTGACATCGCATCCTGAGCTTTCCGCATTAATCCCAGACAAAGGCAGCCCTTCAGTGCTGTGCCAGAGCTCAAATTAGGAGCCAGATAATGGCCTTGTTGAGATCCTGCTCTGTTCACCGAGAGGCAGAACTCCCATTGAAATCCTCCTCTTCAATATTCCTTCTCTCCTGCTTGTTCTTTACCTCGTCAGAACACCTTTCAACCATGTTCGGACTGTGACGGAATTCAGGTGACACAATTTTGCTCCATTCCCCCGAACCCAAACCCCCCCCAGCCCCCACCCACCACTTCCTATTCACCCACCTTTAATTTGATGGTGGCTTGGCCGGGCTTGGGCCTGTGCCTGGATGTGGATCGCCACGGGCTGTGAAACTGATAGCCAGTCAAGACTGGAGTGTCTGTCTCCAGCCTGATCTAGTCTGCAGGAGGGAACAAAGGGGGCCTTACAGGGCTCCGCAGGGTGGATTAGTTCCAAGGAGCCAATGGCTGGGGCTGCTGGCTGGCTCTCTGGAAGAAGGCCTGCTGTGGCCCCAGCGGTGGGTCACTGCACAGGCGCACACACACACCGAAAAAACCCCCCTCCAGCTCAGTAGTCCCCATCCTACAGCCCTAACCCTCCAATCAGCACACATATGCGTTTGAAGTGCAGCACAAAAGTCAAGGGTGAGCTACCTTGAAGAAGGTGGAGGGATGAGGAGCTGGGACAAAGGGCAGCTGAAGGTGGATGGAAATATGATGAAGGCACAAATGACCTTTGCCCTCAACGATATTAGCTTGAAGATGTGGACACTAATGCTTTATTGCTTGATTAAAAAGTGTTGAGCTATTGAAAAAGGAAATCTTGGGAACCAAAATCACATACACTTCTACAGGAAATGCACACGGAGGCTAGTTTTTCTGGATTTCTTTGGACGTATTTTGCAGCTCAACTGTTAGCATCTGTATAGCACTGCTGCAACTGCAGCTCAACAGTTACAAGAGGGAACACTTTAGCTATAGGTAGACTGTGTAAAATCTCCAGTCCTCTGCTTGTCTCCTGCCACATCACTATTTGTTTATGGTATGTAGAAGAGATAAAGAGGGGTTTTAGCTCAGTGTGTCAGGGATGGGATACAGTTTGTCAAACAGAGCTTTATTCACAATGACTGTTCCATCACACCCTCTGCATTCAGTCCTTTCACACTTTTAACATGATTTGACTGTTACTGTTCACTGTTTCATCCCCCCCCCCCCATTGATTTTTGTGTGTTATGATCTCCCTCTCTTCACATTTGGTGCATCTTGACTAAATTGTGTTGCTACAGTAGCTTATGAAAGACAGATAGAGACACTTCAGTACATCTAAGGTTTCGCATTGAAGGTTCTGCGATGTAAAAATTGCCTCGACGCACAATGTCCTGCAGTGTTAAACATGCTCAGAGCTTTTGAAACATCCTTGACACATTTATGAGCACAGAGTTATCATCCAGGCACTTGGGCCATTTATCACATCAAAGGAAGCGCTTTGTTTGTTGACGTCAAAACGACAATAGCAGCTAAATTGCCCTGGTTTGTACAGCCACACTGCCTTTCTCCTATCTGCCTCGACCAGGCGCAATACAAGGGACAAAGGTAGGCGAGCGATTTAATAGTGAGCACAGTCTATTTTTCCATTTGAATTCATTTCACCTTCTTTCTTTGAGGCTGTAGATCAGAAAGAAGGAGTGAGGCAATAGAGTGAGAGGCATGGGGAGAGAGGGGGAAAAGCACAAGGAAAACTGATGCCCTTTCCTCCAGCTAAATTAACAGGAATCACGTGGAAAACAATCTGAGTCTCCAATGAAGGAGGGAGGGGGGGGGGCCATTAAAATTAGCCCCAAGCTATGGACTGCACCCAATATCACTAAAGCTGCACTCACTACAGATGTGGAGGCTGGCTTACAGGCAAACTATGCTCTGTTCTATAGCTACAATTAAAATCAACCTCGCTGCCAAAAAATAGGAGGGGGAAAGAGGGGGTAGAAAGGCAGACATGGAACATCAAAGACAGATTGAAATGTGTAGTCAGTAATAAGAGTGGTCTCCAAGCCCTGAGGTTCTCCACGGTCCCCTTGTTAATGAGAAATTTTGACCTCTGGTTTGTAAGTTAAACTTGTAATCTCGGTTAATGAAGTAAATCAATCCCAACTCGGGAGTGTTCAGTGTCTCTCCCTTTGCCTT